TGTATATATGTATATATATATATATGACTGTAAATAATATTTGTAATATCGCTTAGAATTCTCATTTTTAAAATTACACTTACAGTTTCTATAATAAATAATGTTACGTTGCGATTTAAATGCGAAAATACAAAGAAACAAATGATAGTTCGTACTTAATCATTATGAATAATCACACACAGCTTTACTGATCTCTAATTGCTCACTAGTGTCTTGTTTGTGTTTCTCTTTAAAAACAAATTTGTATTCAATCTTCAGAATCCACGATATTTATAATTTTCAACTCAAAACAAATTTCAATAATCAATTAACATAAAAAATAACAGTTTGTATATACAGATACTGCATAATTAGGTAATTAAGCTCGCAATCAGAGATTGCAAAAAAAGCTTACTTATTTTGGGTTTAGTAAAGTTCTACAAATGCCTCAACTGTTTTTTCTTTTTTTTGTTCATTTATGTCGTAATGTAACACAATAAACAACACTAATATACTTTATCTCAAAGTACTTCTATCTTGCGTGTAAAAGGAAGTGTATGTGTGTGAGAGAGAGAGAGAGAGATCAGCTAAGACTCGCAAACAGCAGAAATGACTAAGCGTTCATAAGATATCACGTCTTATCACTAATGACATAATATAACACATATAACGTCGCTTTTGTACGTATAGACGTTTGTCGCGTTTGGCTTGTTTATAATAATTTTTATTTGTGTTACTTTAGACATTGAAAAAACCGACGTGGAATCCGCCGAAATGGATGTTCGGGCCCGTGTGGACCGGTCTGTATTGCACAATGGGTTACTCGTCGTACCTGGTGTGGCGGGACGGGGGTGGTTTCAAAGAAGCAGCCGGGCCGCTTGCTATTTACGGTCTCAATCTCGCCCTTAACTGGACGTGGACACCGCTGTTCTTCGGATGTCGCAGCTTAAAATGGGTAAGGATATTGCGCCGTCTAATGTGTGTGCGCGCACACACATTAGATGCACATTTGTTTCGGAAACAACATTGACTGTTTATATTTTTGTGCAGAGTCTATACGAAATCGTAGCGTTATGCGCTAGCACAGCGGCGGTCGGAATCGCGTTCTACAATGTTAATCACGTAGCTGGTTATCTCATCGTTCCCTATTTCGCATGGACCTCTCTCGCCACGGCGCTTAACTATGTCATTTACCGAGATAACAAAGAACAATCCGCGATCGAGAAGTCCGTACAGGAAAAGAAATAAGATTATTTACACAATTATATAAAACAAAACGGGAGAGAAAGGAAATATAACAGACACACGCGGCAAAAGCTGCAGATGTCTTTTAGAAAGTTAGCATCGGAGAAAAAATTTCTCACGAAATCAATACTCATTAGTGACGGAACTAATGAGTGCTTTGTCATCAATGATTTATGTACTTAATCGATGAGCATCGAACATTTCATTTCGCACACATACGTGTACATCTAGAAAGAAATTTTGAGAAAGCAACGACTATCACCGCACGCTTATCTATCAAAATCTATTATTTGTTTGCTTATACCGAGAGTAAAATATATTATACGTTTTTTTTTTGTTTTTTTTTTTTTTTATAAACATCCAAAAAGAATGCGATATGCATAAATTGCGTCGACAGTCTAGATTTGATAAAGCTTCTTCTGTTAATTTTTTCTTGTTCTGAATTTTAAACGAAATAATTAACCGAGAGAGAAACAGAAAACCAATCACGTGCCTATCACTTGTTTACAATTAGGTAAATGTCCCAATTACTGGCAATCCGATTTTACATGATTTTTTTGAATATACAGATTGTATATCATCACACACGTTGTCTTATTCAAGTTTTACATCCATTTTTACTAGGAGAAAAATAACAGATACAAGTACTATCTCGATAAGAAACTTTTTACGTCGATTGCAAAATTGCAATCCATTACAAAAATTCGAATTTCTTATCGAGATGCTGTAATATGATCGTGAAAACGTTTGACCATACATTAAATATAAACAGAAAATTTCACCGACAAACTTGAAAGTAAGTAAAAAACACAAAAAAAAATTTATCGAATAACGTAATACATAACTGGTTGATTCTTGAGTAACATTTTTTATATACCCGCGTGTGTTCAAAAAAATACCCACCTATCTCTAAGTTTCTTATACTGAGAAGGACAAAAAACACAATAATTTTTACACATGGACTGCTCGTTTAATATATACAATAATAATAATAATAATAATAATGATAATAATAATAATGATACATTTTAATATATAAAATACACGTAAATGAAGAAATATATAAACATATAAGTTATTAGATCTATTACCTTGATTATAGGTGTCATATCAAAAACTGTCATTAATAAAGTCATTCGATTGCCAGAATTAGGAACCAAGCGATTTCGAATATTTGCCAATAGGCGAAGTGCAACGTCTTCTCGTCTACTATTTTATTTAAATTTATCGAAATAATTCTATTCTTAGTTGTTACATTTGAACTACAAGAAATTGAAAAGCAAAATCGATCTTTCAACGAACTGAAATATCATCAGCCAGATATATATACTCGATCAGATATGCAAGCAAACGCTTTAATACAAGCTTTAATTAATTGAGACATTTACCCTTGTCATTGTTGTTCGATCGTCGCAATTGCCGAGTTTTAATAAGAACGTGCTTTTTTTTGCATTGAACGCACAACGACGTTAGTATACATATGTTTATTGATCGACATATGAAATAAAGATAAAATCGACCACGTGTACGTACATTACACAGTGTACAATCGTAAATATCTTTTAAATGTACTAAGTGTTAATAAATCATATAAAGAAATCTTGGAGGATAAAAGGGTGGGATAATATAGGAGACTTCCATTTTCTTCATCGTCTACCCTATTCCGCATTATGGAATTACGAAACTTGGTTTTTTAATTACAATAGTGTTCGCGCGCATGTTCGACCAGTGATGACCAGGACCCTACTGCCTTCTACGAGAATGATCCGACTACTGAACAGTAATCGAATAGAGAAGATAAAATCAGTGACACAAAGTCGCTGCAAACAACAAGAACTACTGACACTTGGGCGATCACTAATGTAATTAACATTGGTAAAGCAAAATCAATCGTAAGTGTAGTCCCGCTTTCGTTTTACAGTTATACGGATCAGTGCCATCTTGAACCTTCAATCTCGCCTTTTGTACAGAATAGGGCAGAATATATTACAGAAGAGAGATATCGAGTACGATTGTACGTGCGGCTGTTGCTCGGGCAGGACTTGTTCCGAGCGACCGTCACCGCCGCCGTATTTGGCTGCCGTATTTCACAAGCGCTACGTGGGCTCGGTCGCGTAGATGTAGCCTTGTTGTTGCAGCACAAACAGCCGTTTTTCGACCGCTTCTTTATCTACAATTATAAACAAGCAAATGAAAAGTCTCGAAATACGATCTGTTCAATATTTTTTCGGTCTCAAAACCCATGATCGTGAAAAATGGTACGTACATTTAATAAGCAAAGCTCGGTCCTGGGTGTGGCTGACGTGCTGCGCCAACGAGTGTAACAGTATCTGCGCTGTGTGATAACGTTGAAAACATTCACCACCTTTTCCAAACAATTCGTCCAACGCTGCTGACTGACACTACAAAAACAATCCAATCAAATACATTGAATATATGAAGAAGAAAATAGAGAAACTAGCTAAGTGAAACAAGTTGCTTTAGTACCATGTGAATCGCATGATTGTACAGTATTTTGTCTGCTGTGGCTCCTGTTTGACGAAGGAGTCCCGCGCTATTCAGCTGCTTGCATTCCGTCAGACATGACTTGAATTTCTCATTCATCGTGCTAACAACTGTAACAACATAATTAAATTTAATTCAAACTTGTGTAGCATTTGACTCTCAATTTGCGCGTATTGTTCTCGATTCGAATTTCATTACGGAAATTTTATATTATTCTCCTTTATGGATTTACCTTCTTTCACAGTGGCTGTCGGCTGCAACCTGCCTGCTTTGAGTTCTTGAGTAGCCAGATTCAAACCAGAGCTAAGCCACTGAAGAGCTCGCACCAGTAGGATGACCTGTTCGGCGCGCTTTCTAGTAGCCGCGTTTCCCGCTTGTTCGATACTGCCGAGTGGCGCCGGCTGCTCGATATTGCCGAGAGGTCCGGCCCTGGAACGAGCGACTTCGCAAACGCAGTCGCACAACGCTACGACAAAGTTCAGCTTTGCCAGAATTTCGTTGTGCTCGCGTTCCATCAGTGTTTCCTCCGGCAGTTCAGGCGCGATAAACGTCAAAGGACGATCATCAGCCATCGTCGGTGGCATGTCGGGGAACAGACTTTGGAAGCTACCGGTTTCTAAATAACGCGATCTCGGTGAAATAATGTTCCAGCTGATATGAGAGTTCGGCAACATTGGTAGAAAGTTACCAGATATCTCCGGGAGAGTAACTGCCCTAGTGCCGAAGGGTATGACAGGCGAATGTCTGAGAGTGTTATTGTTGTCCTGAAACGCGCGTGAGGTAGGCGAGCCGAGCACTGCCAGCGGACCTGTGAGCAGCGGCGAGGACGCGCTGTTATTGCCCGTGGAACGCCGCAATGGTGAGGTTCCGCTCGGCGTGTGCGAGTGCCTCGCCACGGGACTCACTTGCCAAGTATTAGGTGGCGGCGGGGTTTCGCTCAACCTAGTGGTTGACAAGTTAGATTTATTCCATTGATCGATGCGCGCACACACACAGTTTGTGGAATGTATCCGATTCAAGTGTCATGAGAGATTTGATATTTTAATTATTTTAAGAAAAATTGAAATAATTAAAAGGAATAAAACTTTTTGGTAAATAAACGCAACGATTTAATGATCTGACAGTTATATCCATCAAAAACTCTTTGACAGATTTATTTTATCATAATGATGAAATGTAGGAATATAAAAGCTATTTGAAATCGAACAAAAACTTCGATCATATTAATAGAAAACAAATATAAAAAATTTACTACGTGAAAATCCACGACGGAGAATAAAGTTGCTCGAGAAAACGTACCTTCTACCGGGTGGAGTGCCAATGACAAATTGTACACTGGGTGGACTGAGAGAGCCAATATCCGGGGGATGACTCCTGTGAGAGTCGACACTGCGTTTCATGCTGATTGGCTGGGAACGTGGTACGCTACTGCCGCCGGAACGTGCAGCGTTCGGCGATTGCGACGGCTGATGAACCGTCGCGTTGCGTTGACACGGAACAGGAATCGGCTCCGAAATCGGCAAGTAGCACGGTCGAGGCGGACTGATGGCTTCCCTGCTCGTCTGTCTGTTATATCTGGCAAATAGGTGTAGAAATAGTAAGTACGATAATTGTAAGTACTTAGTAAGTACTTAGATTTAAACGTCTAATCTAATAAATGTCACATACTCGCCCAATTTTGATAAGCACGGTCGGGGAGGACTGACGGCTTCTCTGCTTACTTGCTTAGTATATCTAAGATAATAATGATATATAAATGTGTAAGAAACAGTTCATAAAATAATTAAAAATATTTTTAAAAACTGGAAATTCAAGAAAGTGTATCTCTCTATTTTCTCAAATATAAGAAATTTTATATTAGATAATCTTTTTTTTTTTTTTTGCACGCTGTTTTAATCCGTTACATAACATCTACTCACTTGACTGGTGGATTATTGTCAGTGTCGCTGATATCACTCGGTACAAGGACGAAGTCGTCTTCGGGACTAGAACAGGGAGTTTCCGTTGGCTCAGGCTCCGATCTATTAACGATCGGCGTTCCCTCCTCGATCGGGATCGGCATTGTTCCAGGCGATGCCGGCAATTCTGTAGGCACCGGACTTGGGCTTGGGCTCTCCCGAACTCCTGTAATAAACGAATGGCCAAAGAATTCGTCGAAATCCATACGGTCGACCGCTTCACGTCTCAACAAGCCTATCAAGAGATTCGTTAGCTCAGGCGACGTTCCAGGTGGTATACTGTAACAAAAATTGTGAAGATCTCTTTAGTATATTTGTCTGTGAGATTTCTTTCTTACTACAATAAAAAACTAATATAATATAGTTTTTTGTGCACCTTGGAACAAGATTAACAGTGTTTTCGTAAATCGACTTGAGGGCGTGAGGGTTGTTCGCGGGATGTGGTGCTTTTCCGGTAAGACACTGATATAATATAGTTCCTATGGACCAGAGATCGGCCTTAGCATCATATTGAAGAGACATAATAACCTCAGGAGCCATATACATCGGCGAACCGCAAAGAGTTGCCGCCATAACACCTTCCTGGAGAAATCTAGCGAAACCGAAATCCGCTGAAATAGAAAAAAAAAAAAAAAAAACTTCCGTTACATGTTAACAGACAAAGTGATACGTACTGATATCATTAAATTTACAAGACATTACCTATCTTTAATGTTATTTCGTGTGGCTGTGGACATGCTTTGCCACAGTTGTGATTTAACAAGATATTCTGTGGTTTTAGATCTCTGTGGACTATTCCTTTGGCATGCAATACTTTCATCGCACGGACTAGCTGCTTAAGAAACAACCTTATGGTGTCTTCAGAAAGAGTACCTTTTGCTATTAAACAATTACATGTTATTAGACTTCTAATTTTATTAGTTTAGATATTTATAACATTGATCAATTTATTATTGCCTTCTCTTTTTTTTAAACTGCACGCTTACCGTTTAAGTAATCTCCCAAATCTCCGCCATTACAATATTCCATAACCAGGAAGACATTATGATTAGACTCCTGCGCATTGAAAAGATGTAAATCATATTTTTTTTAATCAACAATAAATGTGGTGCGATCGCGTGTTCGTATAAATATTTCTCACCTTACAATCGTACAATGCAACAACATTCTCATGATGTAATTTAGTTAATGCCTGTAAGACAAAGCACTATATATTCAGAAAAGTATATTCAGAAAACGTGTATTTTTACATTGTTTTATTATATTTTGATTTTTGCACTAGATAAAACATCACATGTTTAGAACTAGCATTTTTGTACATAACTATATATGTTTTCTTTTTTATTTACTTAATGTTAAAAATGCAAAAAAAAAGCAGTATACCTTTAAGATTTTGATTTCTTTCTTCAACAATTCCTGAGATTTAGCCAATGTTTTCTTTGTGATGCTCTTAATAGCAACTACTAAGTTTGGTTTCTGTAAGTTCAAAAAAAAAACCTAAATGTAATTATTGCCATATGAGCATGTATAAAGAAATAAAAATTAAAAAAAATACTTAAGTCAAATTTTGTAGAAATTAAAAAAAATCTAAATATTACACGTATCAAAAAATAAAATAAATCCTAAAGTTACGAAGATATTTAATAGACAAAAACACTTTTCTAGATTTTGCAAATATATTTTTGGAGCACGATCTCAAATATAAAATTCAACTATCACTCCTGTGTCAAATATTCTGGTTTTAGATTTTTGTATAGATCTCAAGTTACAGACACTTATCATTTTGCAACAAAATTTATTAGAAAATTTATTCGAAATTTAAATTATCTATTCTACCATGCGGAACACTGTGCCATCTTCTTACATAAAGGATAAAGATTTGATCTCGCACACAAAGAATTACACGGTCTTGCGAATAGAATTTTCATGAAAAAAAAAATATATATATAAAACATTTTATTTCGCCTGTTTGTGATAAAAAAAAAAAAAAGAGAAAAAATTAATGGGCAGGGTCGAGAATGCTCACTTTGCGATGTCTGCCTCTGAATACCACGGCAAAAGCGCCCGTGCCGATCAGATCCTTAGGATTGTATTCGTAATCGCCCAACGTCTCCATTTCTCCCGTCCGCGAAATGTGTGCAAATCTCTACCGACGTGTTGAGGTCGACGGTTTACCAACAACACGAGGATTCATCGCCCGTGATCGTCCGAAATCGATACGCGGTCGATCGTCGCCGCGTGGTTGGATCGTCCGCTTCCAGATTTCTGATTCCGCCTGTGTGTTACACAGATTTTTGATCGAAACAACGCTGGCGCAGCATACGCAGTATCCTGGGAAATCTACATCTCAATCTGCGATCGGAGTTTTGTCGAATCCGTGGCGTCGAATCACTGCTCCTAAAATCAGTGACAAGAGGGGGGCGGGGAGGACGGGAGAGAGATTTAAGTGGCTGATGAGAGAAAAGAGGTAGAGACAAGAGACGAGCACGTTCGAAAAAACACAAAGTACCACGGAGAAGATTTTAACTGCTACATCATTCGTCACACTCCCCCACACAGCACTAACACATTGTTGATGACCAAGAAAGAGCGACGACGGCTGATGAAACGTCAGAGACGTCGTTGCTGGTCGTCGTCGCGAACGTCGCGACGGTCGCGCCTCGCGCGGGTTGGACCTGCGTTCGAAAACTCGCGAAAAAACGTGCGCAAACACAAATTATAGATTTTCCAGTACCGAAGCAAATTTCCTGGAACTCAAGAAAAATTCCATCAGAATCGACCAATCACGATCGACGGTCGATTAGCTTAAACAAGGACCGATCTTTGAGCTTATTGGTCGATTCGACAAGTTCGTCACCGCGATTGGATGGTTGCAAACCCAATCCGCAACCGCGTGCATCAACGATGATTGGTCAACTCGACTGACCGATCACTGCGGTTGGTCAACTACGATTGGTCGCTTGTTGCGACGGAACAATGGGTGCGTTCAGACAACTCAACGATTGAGAGATCATCACTTATGATAGGACTATTCTTCAAAATCTGAAGTGGTTCCAAAAGTACGAACCAATCAGAAGTGATTATCTCTCAACCGTTGTGCAACTGTTGAGTTGTCTGAACGCACCCAATAAGTTCGGTTGGCAACACTGTCGGCATTCCGAGGAGCATCAAGATCGTCGAGAATCCCAACGGTCTGGATCTATAAACATCTGTAGTGGAGACCTCGATGTGCGCCGCCGAAGTCCTCGAAGAGGGTTTGTTCCTGGGGACGTGCACAACACGCACATCGTAAGTTTATCTCTTCGAATCGTTGTTCGCGAATCGAAACGACAAAGCGTCGTCGGTTCTCTTCGCGGATGCGAAGTAAAAAACAATCCTTCGAAATCGGCGACTCGGTAAGCGTGAACCTCGTTCGAACGAGCGAGTTTTGCGCAGCGCCGCACGACCGGATCGATAATTAATTAGAGTGTGCATTATTCTAACCTAAGTTTCTCGGTGAATCCGTTGGATTGTTAAATCTTTTGTACATACATAAAATATGTGTGTACGTATAGATGTGTGATGCATACATGTACATCATGTACGCATCACATCGCGATAACGTGTCGCACGCGCTTATGACAGATCGAGTCTGACATAATTTAATCGACGAACTACAAACATTATGTGACAAAGCGCTATATTGGCGAATGACACAGTAAATTTGTAGCAGAAACATCTATTTGCAATAGAATTTGATTTCATATCGAATTTGTTTTGGAAGATGTGACTTATTTTTCTTTGCAAATAATATCAATAAATAATCGGTATTGTGAATATTTATAATAATCACAAATATGATATATTTATAACAATTAGTTAATGAACGAGTGAGAATTAGAAGTTTTTGTTTTTTTGACAATATAAGTTTGATGCATATAGTTTGCTATATTGATACTTTTGCTGTGATATCAGTTGTTCAATTGGTTTTTTTTCTTTTTTTTTTTTACATTTGATTTGCAGAAATAAACCAAAATGTACAATGGCATTGGACTTCAAACTCCACGTGGATCCGGTACTAATGGTCATGTACAAAGAAATTGGGCAATAGTGCGTAAGAACAAGGATAAGGTTGCTTATAAAGCAGAAGAGACAAAAGGTGATCAGTTGAATAAGCAACCAAATAAAGAAATTCTAGATCATGCTAGAAAAAGAAGTATCGAGGTCAAGTGCACCGAATTGGCTGACATTTTGGAAAATCAAGGGTAAATATCTTTAGACTATTGTTTTTATATATTTTTTTTTATTTTAATGTTATGAAAAATGTAACTAAGTTTGTGTATCTTTAAACAATGTGACGAACTTGATCTGTAAGTAAAATTAGAATTGTATGTGTCATGTTATATTTTGCAACATTATCTCAAAGTCACCTTGATTGTTAATATTAAAGTTAATATGTTGTATTGGATATGTTGATATTATTTTATCACTACTAAATTTTTCTAATAATTGAATCTGACACGATTCACTATAATTGATTACAAGTTTCCGACAGTGAAGAATTGTCGATAAGCGCATTATCTTTAAACTTCATACGGAAGCCAGACACAGGCACAGCAAATTCCATTAGAGTTTGCAATCCAATTTAAGTTTAAAAGTAAAAAGAGGCTGAAAAAAGTTATTACAGCGATATCATTTCTTTTTTAAAACAATTTATTCGCGGTGTAATGTATAATGTAAAATATTTGAAAATAGAAAATACAGGGAACTTATACTCTAAATTTAGTTCAACAGGTGTGACAGATACGGGAATAAATATTAACTTGTTTTTATTTTGTTTTCTACAAATTGTAGATACACGAATGAAGAGATACAGAACAAAGTGGAGTCTTTCAGATCGATGTTAACGGGAAGTGATATTAAACCATCCGTGCCGCAAGATGAGTTTGGTCGTGTTAAGTAAGTACACGTTTATCTACTTTTTGTTTTTTAATTTTTTTAACAGGAAGTAATGGAAAAGCATATGAAATAATAATTCAAAACTACTTAATTGGTTGAAAAAAGTAGTGCTCGAGTAAATAAACTTGTGGTTTGAGTAAATTTCTTGAAGAAAGATGTTACATTTAAAATTATTTTCTAATTTACACACAAATATGTGTAATTAGATGATTTATATTATGAAATAAGTTACACGTGATATTAAATGTAACAATAGATATTTTAACTTCGAAAAAACTGAGTTCGTAAAAACACGAACACACTTACTGTCTGAGAAAGCACCGAGAAGCTTTATAGAAAAGAGCTCTTATTGATTTCTGTCAGTCAAATCCGCGATAATCCCGAGACGTGGATGTTACATATGAAGTGATATTATGGTGTCTGAGCACCTGGAATCTCTTCGTCGCGGCTTTATTCGATCCCGCGCCCTAAGGAAGAGCGCTTTTTAAACGCAATATCACGAGAAAATAAAATTTATGAAAATTTATCTTGCTACAAAATTTTTCCGAACGATATTCGCTTGCAACATTTTTTTAAAACAGTTTTGTTATTTTTCGCAATTTTACTTCGCACAACTGCAGTAATTTTTAATTTTAATCTTACGTTACGTGTGTCGCAATTAAATTTTCGAAAACGTTTCTTTGTCGAGAGGAAACAAGAGAGTTTTTGAGAGGTTTTTGAAATTCTCGGATAAACGTGAAACGTTTATAAGAGGGCGGGGCGGCGTTGCATTCAATCTCAGAGGGATTCAGAGGAGGGCAGGGAGGAGGATTATATTCGCGATATCGACGTACCCCATAGCGCCGGCGCCACAAGGGAGGGAAGCGCCTGGGATACGCGCTGGAGGATGAAAAGAGGAAGAGGGCGAGAGCGGAGGGACGTCACGCGACACATCTCTCTCGACTGACTTTTCCGGCGTCTCAGTGCGAGAATGGACCGGCGTTACGGCGCAACCAGCGTCGTCGTGTGTCGACGAATAATACACCGGGAATCGGATTAACCTGGGGGTGACACCGAGTGACCCCGCTCTGGGGAGTAACATGTGACGCGACGCGACGTGCGGACAAATCACAAAAGTCTTCCATTAGTGTTTAATCTTCAGCAGCAGATTTATGATTCTGCTTTTCTATATCGTCCCTAAGTGTTAAGTTATATATATATATATATAAATTATATAAAATATTGTCGCGATAGATCTTAAGTTTAGAATTATAACGTATCACACGGGAGCAATTACATTGGTTCCGCGCTCTTCAAACACGCGGAATTCATCGGAAGAGAAAATCTGCGCGAACAAATCAGAGAGAGAAGAATAATTTTATTTGAACTTTACATAAAAAAATAAATTATATATAAATAAAAAAAATATTCATTAAAATAATCGACCGAATGAGTGAGAATAAAATTCGCAACAAAAATCTCGATTTATTATGGACCGAACTGTGTGCAAATGTGTGCGTCGAAAAAAGTACGAGATATATTTCAAATATCGTTCTCGCGGCTCTCTGAAAGATATTAAATATCATCATATATTATAATAAATGTTATTTCTTTCGTGAAGGCAATAGAAAAACACGAGAGAGAGAGAGAGAGAGAAAAAGAAAAAAGAGATTTGATTCAAGAAATCTTCTCTTGGAAGAAATCCAAACAGATTTTTTTACGAAAATCCATGTGTCTCCAAGTCGTCGACTGCTACAAGTTGATGATACATTTGTTTAAGAAAAGTGCGTCCTGCTTCGTATACTCGAGCACGACCGTAATAGTGTGCCTGATCTGAAGTCTTCCTGAACTACGTTAGAGTGAATACACGGTAAAATTGTCGTGATGCGATAAAAAAATTATACATATTTGCATATATATTCTTCGATTGTGTACAGAATAAGAAAAGAAATTTTAGAAATCTAAGTAAACGAATGAAACAACAATAAAAGTAACATATAGCGAGACATTTATCAATGTGTTGTGCGTACATAAAAATTGTTGCTCGGATAACGATATGAAACCGATCGTGTGACGACAAATAAATAATGAAATAAGAAAAACACGAAGTTGAAAGAACAAGAAACGTCGACAGCGTCACGGGGGAATAATCATAGAAACACACTCGGATGCGAAATGTGAAAAGAGTTTGAAAAACATTGGAGTGAGAATGCAACGGCGCGTAAGAATAAGGAAGCGACAGAACCTGCCATTGTCATCATCGTCGGATGATTGTTCTAGCCGGAAAAACCCGGGACACGGAACAAAAGGAGAGACGCGACGGCGCGGCGGCTAGAAAGAGAGAAATTAGAGAGCACTTCGTTATTTTCACTCTTATTTCCCGCGAAGGGATTTAAGCGTCGCAAAGGTACTTGAACGTCGTTTGGGACGGAGCTTTTCGAGTTCAATTAGCGGATTAATTATATCTGACCAAGATTATCCGGATCTTTCTTATTTGCAAAACGATGAGATCCAACTTCATCGCGAGGAAGAACACAATTTAGAAGCACTCGACTGGGATCGTCATCAGGACTGGATTCTGGAGAACTTGCAAGTGGAAAGATCAATCTGTGATTGAACGCAAGTGGTTGCTTTGAAAGATAATTGATTTTATTATACCGCAAAATAGAGAAATAAGATTTTATCAGAGATTTTTAAAAAAGCTCAAAATTCGACTTAAAAAAAAAAAAAACTAACATTACAAACGAAACAATCAGATTTTAGAAAGGATTTTTAGATATTTAAAAGAGACTTATGTGCGATTGTGACGCGCTACGTGCGAGAATTACTTTGGAGTTCGTTCACGGGAGAAAAAAAATTGGGATTTCGAGGAATGACGATGTCGGCGACGGTGTCGCCGATGAAACCTGCGCGCGGACGTGGCCCGGCCGACGGCCGTGCCTTCTTCGAGACTCTATGGCGCGGCGGCAATTTTCTGCTGGACCGGCAAAAGGTGTTGAAACGCTCGCGCAGACGCAAGTTGCACGCGGCGGCCAATAATGGCAAGAGAAAGCAGCAACAGCAGTTGCTGCAGCTACAACGTCAGCATTGCTGCTGCTGCCAGCGCATTCAGCTGCACCTGCTCGCCGGACGGCGAAGCAACATGCGCTCCGTCGTCAGGTGACTTTCTTCAAAATATCTTTTTGTTTTTTGTTTTTAATATTTTTCTCATCTGTAAAAGAAACAAGCAACTCGCAGAAGAGAATAAAAAAAACATCACTTTGCAGATATTGTGATATGAAAATTATAAAAAAGAGATTAAATGCAAATTACCACAGAGCGTGTCTGTGTACACACTGTGTAACTATTTGTAACAAAAGATTCCAACTCGCTGCTTTTATACGGATTTGATTTTTCTCATCAAAAATGTTAATAAAAATTGTTTGGACAAAGATTTAGTTGTGTAGTAAACACTTCAGGGAAGGAAATTACTTTTACGTGTTAATTTGACAAAGAGTTTATTTTATAACAGTTATATATGTATATAATTCTGCGCGAAGCTTTTTTGTTAAATATTCTGAGATTCGTGTTGAAACATTTCTTTTTCCCCCCTTCCCCTTCCCCGGAAACAACTCGGAAAACCTTCCTCGGTAAAAAAAATTGCTTCCTTTTATTTACTCTGCTCTTTGAAATTTCGTTGGTTCGTCGATCAACGCGGTGATTCCGCTCTACGGCGCGCAAAGGGGATGCCAGAAAAGAGAACAGCTGGATTGTATTGATCCACCTTATTCCGGCGTGCATGCAGGCGCGCAGGGGTGGTTCTCGCCGTCTCCCTCTACCTTCCCCCCCAGTGGCTCAACCCTAGTTCACGCTTTTCACCGCCGCAGGAAATGTAGCATGAGAGAGAGATAGAGAGAAAGGGAGAGAGGGAGAAGGAAGGAGGAGGACAGAGGGAGGTCGTGCAATTCCTGCCCCTGCTTGCCGTTCCGGACGCCCTGTAGTGTGTTATGTCATTAGTGCCGCGACGCCCGTTAAGGACGACGCCGACGCCGTTGTCTCACGGCTCTCGGCACTGGGTATTTCTGTGAAGTTAGATCATATCGATCCGCTCGCTGGAGGAGCGAGCTTAGACGAAGATGACGGTGAAGATTTCGACGCGGTACGCGATATCTTGTCTGTAATTAATTGTCTCTTCTCTAAGATTGAATTTAAAGTACCATTGTCGTGAACTCTACTTCCCAGGAAATGTGCCGTACAAATTGTTTCATGATGATTTGTCTGTAGATTTGTGGTGTGTGTGTGTGTGTGCATTTGATATTTTTTAAGAAATACCGTCAAAACGACGAAAATTTAAAAATTGTAAAATTTATTTCGCGCACGAACTATTGGATTTTCACGTGTGCGACACGCAATTATACGCGTTAGGTCATCAGCTGTGACATATATTTAGCGGTAGACAGAAGACACATTTTGTCGGTTTAGATGAGGTGTTCAGATGAGGTTCACGCGCGGTCCATGTAATTAGGACTGTGATGTAATTTCAGTGAGAATTTTGCTCGATTGAGATTAATTACTTGAACAATTAATTGCGTTGAGTTGCTCTTTCTTCCGTTTAGCAAAATAAGCTTTACGATGATTCTGTCACAAAATGAGATGGTTTTTTTATATTAATTGTTTAATACATTTGACGTGTTGGTTTTAATTAACGTGTTTGTTTTACACTCGCACAATAATCAACAAATCACCTCGATTTACGCTCTCGTGTTTTGATTTTCAGTGTACGAGAGACACATCAAATCGCCGAGGCGCAGCAGGAGAAAAACGCGAAGCTGCGCGAGGCGTTCGGCATCTCCGAGTTCTTCGTTGAAGGCAGTAGCCTAGATCCGGAACGGCACGCGCGCGAAGCAGAGGCGCGAGCTGCCGCAGCCGCCGCCAGCAAGGTCTATGAACTAGTACGCACGCCGAGTCCGGCGCCCCCGGCACCGTTGCCGGACGTCACCAGTGCCGAGAAAAAGAAGCGAAAACGTTCCGGCAGCGCTAGCAAGAAGAAGAAGACCAAGAAGCACAAACGAGAAAGGTACAGCACAACGTAAACGGTGCGCGCACGGTTCCATGGAGGCTGGATTCGATCTCGTGATCTCTTTCTATCTCTTTCTCTCTGTCTCGCATTTTATTTCGATTATCCGTTCGCGTTTCGAAATGCAAAATACGAATCGAGGCTCCAAGACCGCCCTCCTTCTCCCTCATCTTACTAGCCCTGATAAACCTTGTAAAAAGAAAAAGAATAAAGTGACCAGATTCCGAATAAGTCTCCTCTCTCTCTCTCTCTCTATCTCTCTTTCTCTTTCTTCTTTTAATTAGTTTAATCGAAATTTATTCGTTTTGTAAAACGCTCGTTTTCTCTCTCTCTTTTTCTCTTTCTCATTTGCTTCTTTACGCGTATAGCTGGATTTACCAGAATGTAAACTCATGACTCACCACCTACTATCTTATATCCCATACACCTTTCTCTGTTTCAAACAGAACTGAGGAGGACTGAGTGCCTACCCAGTAGGCGCAGTAGGTAAGTGTGATGGTCGTCGCGATTAATTTGCAAAAACATAAAAGAAAAAAAAACAAATTCTTCGAGAAAAGTGCGTCATGTATCGAGAGCGCGATTAGAATGATGATCGATCGTGGAAATTTTTCTCTCTCTTTTTTCTCGCGCGATTAGTGCAAATCTTCTCTGCGGGCAAATGTTTGCTGCATTTCCTTTTCTCTGAGATTCAAGTGCAATTAAAGACAATATTATGCTATCGCAAAAGTGTTGCATTATACATTAAAAAAAAAATCAGTTTTTATGAATCTTACGACAAAAACATGTAAATTTTCGTCTTTGTTTTTAAATATGTACATGTATATTTTACAAATATTTTTTTAATCAAATATTACAAGATATAAATAACATACAGTGTTTTAAAACGTTTGTAAGTTAAATTTATAAACGTTTATACTTTAACACGTTCTCTAGTATTTTTTATAAAAAAGAAACGTCAATATAATATGCGTTACAAGTAAATTTACAACAAATGTACCAAATGGGCAAACATTTGCCGGGAATTGTTGAAGTCGACGATAAAACAATACGGGAGTAATTTACACAATGAGAGTAAAGTTAAAGAAAATTACGTGCATAACAAAAAAAAACAAACAGAAAAAAAATGATAAAAATAAGAAACAAAAAACTCATACATTTCTATCTCTCTGTTGTTGTTTATCGATGAAGCTTGTTGTTAATGTCATCTCTCTATTTTTTTCTGACAAGTCCGTCCCTATCGATGGTTATCAAGGTAATGCTCTAATCCCATATTTATATCAATACTCCTCATATATATTATGTATTACATATATATATATATATATATATTTCGTATACTTGTCTTCCGTAAATCTTTGTTGGAAGATGTGGTTTTTCGCAGTTGTGACTTCGATCTGAGGACATTTTGCAAAAAGCCGCTCAGGACTCTTTCAGAAACGTGCGCAAAAACCAAATCTTTCAAAGCAAATTGTTACGTAGTCCGTTTGTTTTAGCTATATATTAGCCGCAATATTATAATATATGCAATATTGTGTATCTCACTTGTGTAACGCATTGTTAAACTGTACTTTTTTTTGTTTTTTTTGCTTGAAATAAAATTTTCGATACGTTCTTGCGAAACACTCGGTCGTTTATTCAAAAGCGAAAAATGTTGTAATCAAAAATTTGTATCGCCTTCGAACACCACGTCGATGTGAATTTTTTTTCTCATTTTTGACGCGAGAAAAATGTCGGAACAAAGCGTTCCGCGCGATTATTTCAACGATATTCCGGCATTAATCGCATTTCGTCGTGAAGTTGATTCTTTTGTTTCTCTCTCTCTTCGTTTCTTTCTCAACGAGAAGACTCGAAAACCACCAAAAGGCTAAAAAAAAAAACAAACTTTTGAAAACGGATAGCTTTTGCATATTATATGTATATGTACGTTGATATATCGATAGAACGGAGCATTGATTTTTTCACGTACACGGATATGTTGTGTACTACAGCTTTCTTTATATATATATATATGTATATATATATACACATATATATATATTATATCAGCACAAAGGTATGCGCACTTGTCGACGGGAAGACGTCCACTGCAAGATTTATATAAATATTGTTTAACAAAAAAAAAAAAAACAACATAAACACTTGTACGACCTTTTCTAGACTATCGTAACGATTGCCAAATGTGTCCGATTTCATAGATCCGAATCTCCGAAGTCCGGCAAGAAGAAAGAAAAGTCTAAGAAAAAGAAGAAGGAAAAGAAGCACAAGAAGGCAGAGGTCACGTCGTCAGATAGTGACTCCAGCGAGGATTCCGACGATAGCAAGTAAGTTTATCTAAGTGTATGTGTGTGTGTAGTAATTTATTTTTTACTCACACAAGTTGAATAAAGTGATAGGAGTTTCACGCAGTGTGTCGTAACGATAATAAATAATTTTGCAGTTCATCTGAGAACGAATCGAAGAAAAGGAAGAAGAAAAAGAAGAAAAAACTGAAAGTTGAGGGAAAGGACAAACACGAGGTACGCATATTGTGCTTCGAAGAAAGCCAGAACGTAAAATTACTATCTCTCTTCTCTTTCTCTCTTTTTTCCTCTATATATATATTTATATATACATACATATATATATATATACTTCGGCACGTGAAAGCAGGTGCATGACAATGTCTCTAGTTTATGTTCGTTTTTCTTGAAATGATTTTAATCGATCGTTATCATTATTATTATCCGATCTATTAGGTTTGCCACATCGTTTCAAAAAGAACAAAAGAAAAACAAAACAAACCAAAAAAAAAAAAACAAAAAAAAAAAACTAGCATGATCACATAATCCTTTCTTCCTTTCCGGTTCGGCTTGTTGTTTTCTTTATTTTTTTACGTGAAATACGTGAGTTTTCATCTGATTTCCAGTTTTTCGACAGTTCATTATTTCAAAGTATAAATCTCAGTATTGTTTGTAATTATTCAGCGCCATTTGACAGGAGACATTCCCTGAGTGAGTACCAGATATGTCGCTACTCAATGTATTATCTAATTTTGTGAACTCATTATGTACTCGTGTATTTTTACGAACTTGCGACTTTTACTTGTCGTGTAAGAGCCTCTCTATTTCACTCGTTGTATATCGAGCACTAATTACACGCTAATTACAGAAGATTGATCTCGGAGACTGCTTGTTCTTTAATGACGAAGAACTATCATCATTCTTGGAAATGCATTCTTGGAAAAAGACTGCTACAATATGAAAGGAAACGAAAGAAAAAGGAAATGTAAAAAAAAACAAAAACAAATTTTAAGAATTTTATAATTATGTAAAAAAGTTTCGCAAAAAATCTCTCGCCTCTAAACTACGTTATTAATTTCACAAATTTTCAAAAATATTCACCAAGGTTTTCTTATGTCGTGCCACTTGGGGGTAACGTTTAAATCTTTTCTACTGAAAGAATTTGCTCTTCGAGTTGCAGCTTTCTTCCAAGTATGCAAATATAAATATGAGATCTCTTGCTTATTATTATTATTATTATTCACTTGTCAATAAGTGCTGGTTAAAATATCCCGGGAGAAGCAGACTCCGGCAAATAAATACATTGGTTTTTCTTTTCTGTTGTATTTTGTTTTCTTGTATTCTTGACAAAAATGCATGATTGATGTTTCACTGACGAGATGCACTTAATAAGCAATTTTGATTTACGTTGGATTTTCTTTTAGAAGAAGAAGGCTTCGACTAAACGGAAACGTCAGTCATCCGAAAGCTCCACGGACAGGTATGTTCGTACATATTATGTTTGTGTTCTTATATCGAACAAGTGTATTATATTTATCCATCGTCTTGATTGCATTTGCTTTTTAACTTCGCTTTTTTCTCAATTCTTCAATCGATCTAATTCGATCATTGATCGATCTCGCAGCTCTGCGGAACGACCGAAAAAATTGGCAAAGCATGAGAAAAACACTGACAAGATAGACAAAGCGTCGAGAAATGAAGTTTTCGAAAATGCTGCAACTTCGCGGGAACCTGCTTCTCGATCAACTCGATCGCCCAAGCGAGTGGACCGGACGGCAGTGTCTCGAAATGAGACTCCGCCACTCGTTAATAAAACAAAGAAAGACTCACCGACGAAGAAGAACACGACGGATAAGCGAGACAAGTCACCTGTCAGCCACAACAGAAGCCCTTTTTCGTCGTCACGGCGACATAGATCATCCTCTCGAAGTAGAGGTGATAGAGGCGACAGAGGTGACAGAGGCGACAGAAGTGACAGAGGTGACAGAGGCGACAGAGGCGATAGAAGTGATAGAGGAGGAAGGTCTCCTAGAAGATACTCAAGATCCCGTCGAGAAAGTCCATCTCCTAAACGTAGGCGGGGCTACTCCAGATCACCTAGGCGACACGGCAGGTATTCTGCGTCGAGAAGCAGAAGCCGTTCTAGATACGATCGTTATGGATCCTCTCGCAGAAGGCCCGCATCTCCTCTGCCAAGACGCAGGGAGACCGATTCTCGTCGAAGATCACGCTCGCCAAGGCGACAGCGTCGGCGATCCCGGTCGCGTTCTACTTTGAGTTACTCGCCAATAAGAAAGTATCCGGAACGCTACAAAGATATTCTAGAAGATTCTAGGAAACAACGGCGAGATCAGAAAAAGAAGTCGAGAAACGACAAAGGAAAGTCACGTTCGACATCAAGAAGCAGAAGGATCCAGCAGGTGACAGTCACTCCTAGAGTAAGTCTGAGATCATCGAGCGAGGATGAAGCCGATCTGACGGACGACGAGCCCAGCAAACAGCAACAAAAAGAGGACGAAGATAAAAGAATCATGGAGCTGAATACTTTGAAACAGTTGCAGAGTGGCCTAGCGGCGAAGGCGCGTGAGACGTTGGAGAAGAAGGTGATCAGTCCCACGAAGATCAAGCACGACAGGCGAGAAGATAATCTGTTTGATATCGCTCTGCCGAGCGAGCCGCCGAAAACCATTGTGCAGAATGTAACGGCGCCGATTTGCGACAGATCTTTATCAAAGGAACCTATCGTGCAGGCTCTACCGGCTATTCAGTCTCCCGTGTCTAGCAGATCACCCTCACCGGCTCTTCCTCTTACTCGAGAAGAAGCGGCGATCAAGATCAGATCGCCGAGCGAATCACCTCCGCCGTTGCCACCCCAGCAGTCATTCGACAAGGTCGATCCTGCGCCGTCTGGCGTGAAAACCAAAACAACAAATCGCCAGTTGTCGCCGAATTTCTCCGACAAGAAAGATTCGCCATCAGTCGCGTCTTCGAGGAAAGACGCATCCAAGTCGTCTTCTCGTTCTCCCGTGCCAGCGGTAGCACCTAGAGAAAGCAGTTCGTCAGTGAGAAAACTGCGCACGCCGAGTGATTCGCCGCCGCCGTTGCCAAGCGCGATTTTGCCAACCAAATCGAATCAACGCTCGAGATCGCCGAAGAAGAGCAGATCGTATTCGAAATCGGCGTCGAGGTCGTGCACGAGATCGCCATCCGTTGCGGACAAAGCGAGGTCTTCCAGATCGCCGTCCGGTGACAAGGAATCGCGGTCTCGCTCGCGAGACAAGAAATTGTCAACGTCACCCGGTCGACGATCGGCATCCAGATCCGTTTCCCGAACGAACAAATCATCGCCTAAAGCGTTGAGGACGAAGCAACAACGCTTGTCCCGATCGAGATCTTCCTCGGCAGAGTCGAAGCGTTCGAGCGTATCAAGATCGCCCTCGAGATCCAAGAAGTCTGCCTCTCGATCCCGAAGCAGAAATCGATCGTCGTCGAAGAGGAGATCGCGCAGTCGTTCTTCCTTGTCAAAGAAATCTAGGAGCAGATCGCCGTCGAAGAAGAGATCGCGCAGTCGCTCGTTGTCGAAGAAATCGAAAAGCCGTTCGCGATCGGCGTCGAGAACGTCGAGAGACAAGGACAAACGAAGTCGTACGAGAAGTAGCTCGCGTTCTTCTGTTAGGTGAGCGTTTAGATTCTAATCTACACACTAATAAAGTTAAAAATAATTGCGCCAAACAAAACGCACGATTAAACCTGATTTCTTCCTCAGTTCGAGACATAGTCGAGGTAGAAGTTTCTCAAGCTCGTCGAGATCGTCGAGCAGCGTTTCTAGCCGATCCTCCCGCTCCGTCTCCAGCAGTTCCGCATCCAGCAGATCGCGCTCGCCGTCTATACCTCGGCGACATGGCTCGCCTAGCTTTCTAGATAGACGACGTATCACAAGGTAGGTATAACGCATTTGTTTTCTTCCTATTTTTATCGTGGTAGTTCATTATATACATATATATATATACATATATATATATTTATTAAAGCACTTTATGCTGAATTTTGTAAGTCCATCACTGTAATTGTAGATTTTAATTTGTCATTATTATTATCAATTACACATTTTTTTTTTTTAGCATTCACGTCTTTTGTTACTACAGTTGTGTTATATTATTTTATTATATTATTGTCGTTAAATTGTTGTTTTTATTATTATTGCAATTATTATTGTCGTTGAAAAGAGGAAATCGTTAAAAAGACTCAGAAAAATTTATCTAGAAAGACTCTGTTCGAAAAGATTGTTAAAAAAAAACAAAAAAGTATTAAAAAAAAAACACTTGACGAAAGACGATTAATTTCGGCTGTCAATTTGTTAATATTGTATTTGTTGTGTCCTGCAGGGACAGATCGAGGGACAGGCATAGAAGATAGAGTTATGGCTTCGCACAGATGTTTCCGTGTTATTTCACTCTACGATTGATGCATATATACATATATATATACATAATATACAAAGTAATAAAAAAAAAAAACTATATAGTTATATAATAAAAACCCAATAAAATAACATTACAATAATAAAATAGATACGATATGTAGACTTTCATAGAATTTTTTGTTTTTTTTGCAAAAACCGTTGAGACAGACTTAAGTGTAACTAATTAATACACTTTGATTGCCAGAGAGACGTTGTTTTGACTGTAGGAACGTGACTCTTTATATTTTAATCACTTTTTAGATTTAGATGCATAACGATTATGAATTTTTAGTACCATGCTATTGAGTACAAAGTGTGATAATTGATACATTTGCGCCATATTCCTACACGCAATTTACTTATACCAGTAAGATTCAATGATTGACACTTACATCGAGTAAAAATATACAACTAGTATTGCCGCGTCACATCATGTAATTATAATTGTAATGAAATATATATGAATAATTATATACAAGTAATATAAGTTATTATTATTATTATTATTATAATCATTGTGTAATATTGATTATAATAGAAATGTGAGAAGAAAGAAGCATGGGGACAAGATTTGTGTAAACCAAATATTATCATTGCAACTATTAAGTAAACATAATTATCGACAATTGAATTCGCAAAATAACACAACGTAATTTTTTATTTTTATTCATATATTTTCAGATTTGCGATCTATTTCTTTTTTTTTTCTTACCTATCATATTTTTTTAAAATAATCTAATTAATTATTGATATCATATGGTAGATGTAGCATGCGTGTATGTTCTTTCTTTATAAATATTGTAAATTTTTTTAATTATTTTTTTGTAGGAAGATTGCTATTACATTACTGTCAACTGTAAAAATAAAAACCTTCATTATCCGATAAAATTAATCTTTTTCTTCGTTATAATTTCTTAGTTTTAATTTTAGTTTGAACTTTAATTTTGCAACTTGCAAATGTGTTTATTGCGCCACTGTATTCGCCAGAGAAATATTTTACATACAGGTGAGTTATTATATTTTTATTTTGCATATATGTTTCCTTCTCCTAATTTTTCTACAGCTTGCTTGATTTTTATGTTTATCACGCGCATGCACAGTGTGTTATTTATTTCATTTTTTATTTATTAATAAAAAAAAAACTCAAGTTTTATTTGGTTTAAATAAAACGGAGAAAGTAATCACACAAGTGTGAATTATATGCTTAACTTTTTCAAATTTGTATATTGTTAATGTTTATCATTCAGAACTAACTTACGATTATAAATATATTTTATTACTGATTAATTGTGAAATTATTGCTGTGTTGTCCATAACTTGATTTTTATTAATAGAAAACATACTCGATAACTAAAATTAGTCTTTTATCTCTCGCTCTTTCAAAATTAACATATTTCGAAGCAAGATACTTCAATATTTCTTAGAGCATCGCATTATAACAAATAATATTTGTTTTAGTGCGAGGAAACGTCCGATTCCGTATCACCGACCCACTCCGACACCACCTTCGTCGCCGAGCACCTCCGAGAGTAGCAGGCATAGTAACTGGTCCAGTCCGAGTCATCGGTCCAGCTGTTCTGCAAGTCGTAGTCCGTCTTACACTCGTTCATAAGATGCGCGTAAATTTTCTCTGATGAAAGAGAATCGACGTTCCTTCTTCTTTTTCGTGCGCGATAGACTTGGAACGGCGTAGCTTGATCCCTTTACGATCCGACAAAATCTCGGAGTCCCGTTAAGTGAGAGTTTTATCTCGAAATATTGATTTTTAAATATATTCGAATATAAATATATATATATATATTTATAATTTAAAGCTATATAATTGTAAATATAATTTAAAAACTGAAAAAAAAAAAACACTCAAGTCACATATGGTTGAAGACAATTCTGCGGAAGAGTCGAGTGTTAAGTTTTCTGAAACGACAAGAGATATACAGAATGTCCAGAGAAAAGATGGATGTTGTTTCCTGCAAAATTCGGGCATTTCGACTTTTGTTAAAAAAAATTCCAAATTTAAATAAGTTACTTAAACGCGTCGAGTTTTGCAAGAAATAAAACTATATCCGTCCTAGAGTACCCGGTTTTCTGAGACATCCTGTATATACAAATATTGTTTATATAAAAGTAATCCAAACAAGAGAGAGTTGTAAGAGACATCTAAACTCTTTTCGTTTGAAGAACGAAGACGACTTTTTAGACATTTCTGCGTTTGTACAAAGAAATTTTACGAGTTACTTTTACGAATGTAGAATAAAAAAAATTGAGTTGCAATTGGAATTACGTTAGAAAATTTGTGTACAGATGTCACAATTATTTAATTATTTACTTAGCACGGATTATCTTTAACCGGCAACTTTTAAAGTTTTTCGATTTGAACCAGAAACGCCATTTCGAGAATAAATCGTCGAACTTTTGTAGTTATTAAAATTTTTTACTCAAATCCGAGTAATTGATATTAGATTTCTAACAAAAAAAAGAACTACCATTTTTTTACACTGACAATCCATTCCGTTTTCTCTTATCGGATGAGAAATTTATATTTTAATAATTTGACATTTGTAGTTCTTTTTTACGTTAAGGTGTAAAATTTTATTTTTACTAAATTGTGTAATTACTAGTCCGATAAGCCGCGCGTAAACGTAAGCAATAACGGAACGAAAATCGAATGTAGCCTTTTGTGTTTACGCGTTAGTTTGCTTGTCTTTTGTTTTTGCTAGTCAAATATACTCGCTAGAAAATACCACCGATATAGTTTATCATAATTGCTCACGCAAACAATTTTCTAAATAGCAATATATCACAAATTTTCAAGCGCATTGAAATGAATTTGTGATAAATAATTTTTTAGTGCAATGTTATAATTCGTTCTACTGTACATAAGCAATTTTCTTGACGAAGTCTGCACTTTTCTAGTTTTTCTTACAGTCCTTTGCGCGATAGATAATTTATTTACACAGTTTGTCTTTTATATATCCTTTGTTTTATCCGGAAAATGTTGTTATAGATACGAATATACACGTGCGCGCGGTGCAGGGAGATGTGTGGTGTGTTTCTTCAGTTGTGTATTTATTTCTCTACTATTTTTTATATTTATTTCTTTTTTTTTTTTATAAAATAATCTCTTAATTTTACGACGCGGTATGGAAGATATTGCAATTTTCTTTTACATGCGATACTCGCAATTGAAGAAAAAAAAAAGTATTCTAGTCATAGAGGAAGACGATTTCTCGTCAAGGCCCCCGAGAGATTGGGTCAGGCAGCAACGTACCAAAGACAATTTGTAGAATTACTAGTCTCTTAACGCGCGTTTGCGCGAAGTTAAGTCTCGAAAATTATATATGTATAGGGTTAAAGAAGAGAAATCGTACTTTGAAAATTCTACATTGTTTACTTATTACACAGAGAAACTATGTAGCGCTAGTTTTCATTGTCAGTAACGACTGATCTCTTTTTAACAAAGAAAGAAAAAATATCCCCCGCTGATATCAGATAGTAGTAGAAATGTCGGATATCTACATCTTTTAATTTTTTACACTCAATGAGATTTAAAAAAACAAACAAATTGTTTTCGATTTTCAAGAAATGTGAGAAGAGTGTCACTGAATTTGTGCGAATCACGCGCTGTATCATTTTTGTTTCCATGAGGACCCGTTGATGTAGAACCGACATTTTTATATGCAATAACCTGATAAATACTCTCTCGATGCCTGTAGCGCAGTAGGAACTCCGTCAAATCAGTTTCTTCGTTTGAAGACATAATATTCTTACGCTTTCTCCAGGAAGCTGATAATTACTCTTTTTAATATTTCTGTTCGAATGTGTATAGCGAACTTGATGAGACTTGTGAAGACGACAACTCTGTTGTACCTTGTAAAATTCCATTGTCATTTGCAACTGTCGAAAAGCGATAAGAGACACGCTGTTTTTGTGTCCTCAAAACGCGTCCTCGATTACATTCCGAGTAGAACATATTAATCTCTTTGTAAGTTCATAATTTTTTTGTTGAACTTTGTGGCTTTCAAACCCGATGTCTGTATCCCGCTTATGATTTGCGAATCATCGAATGTTACTATCTCGTTAAAGTGAAAGAAATTCGGATATTATATATGTAATATAATCTGTATTGTTGTTGTGTGATTAAATCGAAAATCTCTTAAACATTCGTCCCAAGTTTTTTTTTATTTTTGAGAACTCTCTTCTAATAATATAATATCCGCAAATATTAGAAGTAAACAAAAATATATATCGTCAATATATTTATATCTCAAAGATGTATTGAGAAAAAATTCAAAATTCTATATATATAATATATATATAAATTCTTATATATATAATATATATAAATTCTATATATATAATTCTATATATCGTCAAATAACTAGAAAGACTAAATCTATAAAACGGTTATTGCGGTACAAAAAGTAACTCCATATTCTGTAAATAAAAACTACACATAAATTGTTTCTTTTTGTAAATATATATTTTTTTCTCTTGATACCCATAAAAAATATCTCTATTTTGCCAAAAATATACAAACAGTATCTACATTTACGTAAGATATATATTGTAAGAAATTCTACTAAAGTTTATGTTCTATACATTTTTCTTAAAGACAAAAAAAAGTAACAATTAAAGCATACATTCGTTACAAAGGTGGAATGTATTAAAATATCACTTAGGTTTGTATATATATTTAGAATTTTTTATAAATTTATTTTTTTACCTTCGCAGAATATTTTTTTACGCCTCTCTCGCGCAGAAAAAATAACTGTGATGACAATATTTAATTGATACGTCTACTTTTCTTTCGAAGCTTCCTTTGCCCTCTTCTTCGCAAGATAAATAACCCACGCGAAACCGATGATATTTGACACTAAAACTCTCAACTAAAACAATCAACGAAAATGTAAAGAAAATTTTATATTAAAAATTGTTTCACATGTAGATAGAATGTGATTTACGGTGGTGTATACGTTTACCATTGGCGGAACGAATTTTATATTGATGAATTGGTACAGCGTTAAATATTTCAGATTTGCTATCAACAACGGTAGGTATAATTTTTCCATTTGAGCACGCGCTACTTGATGAGACTTGCCCTGTAAAACAGATTTTAATGATTCAACTATTTTTCTTTGCATTTTACAGCGAAATATAATCTAGGTATATAAAAACAGTGTATGCTGCAATAGTCTGAACTATCCATACCTCAAAGATAGCAAGCATGTAGAGTCCGAATGCTTGAAAGCATGGTGTATAAATGAGTCTCTCTATGAGAAGTATTCCCAGTGGATGCTTCACAAGCAAATGTACGTATTGATAAAAGTAATGAGGTACCGGTCCTCCAAAAAACAAACTAAAACAATTTTATATTTTCGTTAAAAAACGTGCTTGTTCTTCTTAAACTTTGTTTAATGAAATATTTATTCAAACAGCAATATATCTAGTACGGTTTACCCGAACAAGGCGAATGCCAATACGCTGTCTTCATTGAGCCGTCTAGCACCAGACAATTTTTGAGCCACAATATTTCCGAGAGCAGCAATGACACAACTAGAAATAATAAATAATGAAGAGGGTTTTTTGATTACAGATACATATTGCATAATTAAGAAGTGTTTTGTACACGCTTTTCTACTTTGTACGTGTACAATAAAATTCTAATATTTATTATTGCATATAACTATCATTATTACCTTGTTACCGCTTTTGTCTTTACGGGACTGTAGTAGAGTCGCTGGAAATATGCGCCAAGGAGATCATAAATAATATTAGCGGGTTTGGAAAGCGACATTTTTTCTCGAAACCAAATTAAAAGTCTTTTACTTCCTACGTTCGACAATCAGAAGAATAATTTTTGCAATTACAATCAGTAGAGTACAAAGTGCGCCGTGACGTAAGTGCCAATCCAATGTCTAAATAATATCTCAACGATCAAGTGGCAACCTTATGTACGGAGACATTTCCATCACTGCCTGTGTACATAGAACACACAAAAATACACATCAAATTACACAACTTTGCATGACGTAAATTACTTTGTTGTTCACAATGATCATTACTTGATCATACCACTATTCGATTTCTTCGATTAATTTGTTGAAGTATGTGTGAATCAATTATATAAGTGTCAAAATACAAACAAACGCCTCGATTCTTGATAAGTCGGAGAGACCTGGTTAGGCTAGACTCTTTCCGTTCTTGCTCTCTTCCTCCAATAAATGGCCATAGAGAATGACAAGATTACAGAGGAAATAGCAATTTTTATAGAAAGACTGATAACGATTACGTACGACGTGACATAACCCTAACTGACGAGCGACACGACGGTGCACTATGTCCACAGCGTGCGGTACTATTCTGTGCTATGTGCACGAGTTTAAATGGCCACATTCTTTATGTAAAACTTCTATTGGCTAAACATTTACCATTTTATTTTAGCACAAAATGTTTACGGAGACTGAGTGACAAATAGAGTTAAAAAAAGAGATTGATTGTGAGAATGGTTACTAACGTTGCAATGTATATGTTATATACGTAAGATTTTATTGAATTGAAATAATTAAAGGCTGAATTGTTACGTGCACATATTTTTAAAGTGCATGTTTAAAGTGTATCGACAGCCAAGAAAAAATTCCCGGTAGTAACACAAATACGTAATTCTCTTTGTGTTACATATTTTGCAGGTGATAAAATGTATAGCTTTTCTATCTATAATTTGCTTTAAGTTTATAATTAGAATAATTTGTAAAAGGTATTTGTTTTGGTTTTTATATATTAAGTTGTGTGTCATTTGTGTTATATTTGAAGTT